AAAAAAGTTCTGAATTTTTCATATAGCGCTTATTCGGCACTTTCTAAAAGGTTCTCTAAAAGTTTTTAAAAATTTTTAAACAAAAAAAAATTATAAAATTTTTTTTTTCATTTTTTTTGTTTTTGTTCGTTTTTATTCATTTTTTGAGGAAAAGTGTTGTCGATCATATCTCAACAATTTTCTCCGCTTTTGTATAAGTCTCGAATCACACCACCACTAAAATCAACACTTATTTGAAAAAAGCTACGAAAACTTTTTTTTTCATTTCTTAAATAATATGGTCGGAACTTCTGTAGTACTTGCACAGTAACCGGATATCCTTATTATTCATTGATTTTAGTTTTAAACGTCAACTCTTGTCGAGTTAGCGTGGGATTGTGAGAAAAACGGTGGACGCGGCAGGGTTAGAGGAGTAAAAGAATGGGAGTTGGAGTGGTGAACAAGGGGATGAAACTCATCGTTCGTGTTCGAATTTTGCAGAAAACGGCGACATATCCTATTTAAAAAACTAATCAGTTTTCAGGATTTTATTAAAAAACAATCAGAAACTTGTAGGCAAATTTTAGCTACAATCGATTGAAACTGTAAAAAAAAACTTAAAAGTTGTTACGTGGACTAAACTTTCCGCCCACGATATTCAATTATCATTTAATCAATCTTTACCCATAACTTCGCTGAAATTTTATATTTGAGAAAATAATTGTTGATAATCGATATTTGGGCGATATGACAATCGAACATGTTGACCAGGTTTTCGACCGCAAAAATCTAATATAATCAATTTATTCCAGATAAGAAAACAAATGCGTTCTTTTTTTTATTTCATAATTTTGCATTGAGAAATCGATTCGGTAAGAACGAAAATAAGAATGCTAAGAATAATCGAATGCTGCAAAGAAAAATCAACTGTTTGGGGTATTTTAAAACAAATTTTAGCGGTAATTTTTTTAGCAAGAGGTAGTTTTGAGCAGTATAATCAAAGATTGATGAAACAATGGTGGAAATCAGATAAATCTAGAAAAAAAAGAGAGCTCCGGGTATGTTTAATTGGCTCAAACCTAAAACTTCGAAATATGAAAATAATATATAATCAAATTACAAAAGTGGTTTTTGATTGATATGATCTATGTCCTCCAATTTAGCACGTATTAGCGCGCGAGGACGCATATAAAAAATTTAGGACTAGTGGAAAATGGATCCCCTAAAACAGTACCAAAGGCGACACTTCAGACGTTTGTGGATCGAATCCCTGAATAGTCTGCCCGCCCCATAACCACTAAATCATCCGCTGGGTATCCAAAGTCGTCTCTTTTATAACTGCCCGTACCGAACTTTTCACACAATTTCACGTCTGATCCTACAATTTTCAGACATTAGCTGTTTTCCAGCTCTGGACATATCTGTTTCACATATGATCACATCTGCACTCATTGCCGTTTGCAAACTATACCTGATTCAGACATGACTATACCTGGGTCAGGCATTACTATACCTGGTTCGACATGACCATACCTGGTGAGACATGACTGTACCTAGTGAGACATGACAACACTGTGTCATACATGACAATACCTTGTAAGACATGACGTATTTTCTGTATAGAAAAGATATTTCTTTTCTTTTCTTACAAATAAACCATTTTGTTTAATTTTTCAGCAATTTCTTTCTCATTTTCATTATTTTCATTATTTTGCAGAAAACGGCGACATATCCTATTTAAAAAACGAATCATTTTTCAGGATTTTATTAGAAAAACAATCAGATACTTGTAAGCAAATTTTAATTACAATCGATTGAAACTGTAAAAAATACCTACAAATTGTTACGTGGACTAAACTTTCCGCCCACGATAATCAATTATCATTTAATCAATCTTTACCCATAAACTTCGCTGAAATTTCATATTCGAGAAAATAATTGGTGATAATCGATATTTGGGCGATATGACAATCGAACATGTTGACCAGATTTTCGACCGCAAAAATCTAATATAATCAATTTATTCCAGATAAGAAAACAAATGCGTTCTTTTTTTTTCATTTCATAATTTTGCATAGAAAAATCGATTCGGTAAGAACGAAATTAAGAAGGCTAAAAATAATCGGATGCTGCAACAGAAAAATCAATTGTTTTGGGTATTTTAAAACAAATTTTAGCGGTAATTTTTTTAGCAAGAGGTAGTTTTGAGCATTATAATCGAAGATTGATGAAACGATGGTGGAAATCAGATAAATTTAGAAAAAAAAGAGAGGTTCGGGTATGTTTAATTGGCTCAAACCTAAAACCTCGAGTATGAAAATAATATATAATCAAATTACAAGAGTGGTTATCGATTGATATGATATATGTCCTCCAATTTAGCACGTATTAGCGCGCGAGGACGCATATAAAAAATTTAGGGCTAGTGGAAAAAACGGATCCCCTAAAACAGTACCAAAGGCGACACTTCAGAAGTTTGTGGATCGAATCCCTGAACAGGCTGCCCGCCCAATAACCACTAAATCATCCGCTGGGTATCCAAAGCGGTCTCTTTTATAACTGCCCGTACCGAACTTTTCTCACAATTTCACGTCTGATCATACAATTTTCAGACATTAGCTGTTTTCCAGCTCTGGACATATCTGTTTCACATATGATCACATCTGCACTTATTGCCGTTTGCAAACTATACCTGATTCAGACATAACTATACCTGGGTCCGACATTACTATACCTGGTTCAACATGACCATACCTGGTCAGACATGACTGTACCTAGTGAGACATGACGATACCGTGTCAGACATGACAATACCTTGTCAGATATGACGTATTTTCTGTATAGAAAAGATATTTCTTTTCTTTTCTTAGAAATAAACCATTTTATTTGATTTTTCATTAATTTTCGAAAAGAATTACAACTTTTTTTCACGTGTCTTGTTTTTAAGATAAATAACAAGAAAATTTCATTGTTGGTAATCAGCGTAAGAAAAAATTTTCACAGTTTCTCTTTCGTGCAATTTTTCCGTATCTCATGGGGGGGGGTAAATTTTTAAGAAAGTCTATTATAAATAAATACAGTAGTTAGTAATAAATATAAATCCGCCCTTGTCAGTGGAAAAACGTGGTGGATACCTAGGTTTTTGGTCAATACCTAATTGTTTTAATGCGCCAAGTGCCAATACCATCTCGTACTCATAACTATTCCAAATGCACTTGATTCAAACTATTTGCTCTTATGATTTTGAATCAAATTTTGGCACATGACATCCTATAATTTATCCAATTACTTTTTTTCTGATATAAAGGTAAATAGTTCTGATAACTGATATACTTGTTTCAGTAAATGCGTCTATAATTGATCAAATGGTAATTTGAGTTTTGGCCTACGGAGTTTTTAAAAAGCAGTTTTGATCTAGGTATGATCATGTTTTGTTAGGTATGACCAGTTCTGGTTCAGGTAAGATCATGTATTATCAGATATGATCATGTATGGTCCAGGTATGATCATGTCTTTTCAAGATTGATCATGTCCGGTCCAGGTATGATCATGTAAAGTCAAGTATGATCATGTCTGGTCCAGGTATGATCATGTAAAGTCACGTATGATCATGTCTGGTCCAGGTATGATCATGAAAAGTCAGATGTAATCATTTCTGGTCCAGGTATGATCATGTAAAGTCAGGTATGACCATGCCTGATCCAGGTAGGACCATGTAAAATCAGATCTGAAGTATACCTGGGACATGCCTGAAGCAGACATGATCACACCTGACTTTTTCCATAGTTATAATGTCTGTACATGTCTGATTCAGACATGTACAGCAAAAAAAAGACGTGCAACAGGACCGATACAGATCTGAAATTTGTATGAATTTTCGATGTCCAGATTTGAATTTAACTACAAATTTCGGCTCTTTCCCCCCCCCCCCCACCTGCTAAATTTTACAAGTAAGTTTGTTGACCACAATGTCCGATTTTTATGAAAATTGACATAGAGACTAATTAAGCCATGACAAACATATTTAGTCTTCATAGTCAACCTCGTAAAACCACTCGTTACACTAAAAAATTGAAGCTCGTCTGAGGTGGGGGGAAAAGGAAAAAGAGCCCAAAGTTCAGTACGGGTGGCAACAAAAAATTAAGCAAACATGATTACGGTAATTGAGCTATCTATGAAGTAGCAGACTGTATACTTAGCAAATCGAACGCGTGTCATCAGTCGCGTGCGTTACAACTTTTCTAAGGGGGGATGTTTTTAGGCTTTGTTTGGAAAAGTTTGCCCAAGGGGGTTTTGGCCCAGCCCCAGCCCCCCCCCCCCTGATAATCTTGTTAACTGATATACTTGTTTCAGTAAATGATGTCCAGATTTGAATTTAGCTACAAATTTCGGTTCTTTTTCCTCCCCCCCCCCCACCTGCAAATTTTTACAAGTAAGTTTGTTGACCACATTGTCCGATTGTTATGAAAATTGACATAAAGACATAATTGACAAACATATTTAGTCCTCATAATCAACCTCGTAAAACCACTCGTTACACTAAAAAATTGAAGCTCGTCTGAGGTGGGGTGAAAAGGAAAAAGAGCCCAAATTTCAGTACGTGTGGCAACAAAAAATTAAGCAAACATGATTACGGTAATTGAGCTATCTATGAAGTAGCAGACTGTATACATAGCAAATCGAACGCGTGTCATCGGTCGCGTGCGTTACAACTTTTCTAGAAGGGATGATTTTAGGCTTTTTTGGAAAAATTTGCCCAAGAGGGGGTTTGGACACCCTCACACCCCCTCCCCCCACTGAACATTAGTTATATTGACGCGTCTTTAGATCATTTTTGAGTTTGGTCAGCCAAAAATGGATGCCGTAAAATTATAACAAAAGGGGACCCTTTGCAAAAATTTGGCAACCAGAATTGAGGGCGGGGGGGGGGGGCATTGAGCAAGTTGCCGTAATTTGGTAATATAAGGATTGGTAATATAAAATAATACGGATGAACGTTTTAAAAAACCTTAAATCCATACCAGTTGTTTCGGCGTTGGCCTTGTCTCCTCTGGCAAATGCGGATGCCTCCCTGGATACATCTGATATCTCCTGGACCAGAAGGGGTTCACTCTTGGGGGAGGGGAACAATTCCAGTTCTATCTTCTTGTCATCCATAGAACTGTCCAGCCACCTAGATATTTTTATAAAAAGATATAAGACTAGCAACAATTGTACAATTGTAAAAGTTATTTGCGTCTCGCGGGCATTTCTTGACGACATTTTCAATTTTCATCATAATACTATAAAAAAAATTTCACAATAAATTGGCCCAAGTATTTCAATGCAAATTTTAGAGAATTGTTAATTATTTGACTATAAGATTTAAATCAAAAAATTTTTGGGCAATTTTATTTTATGAAAGCTGGCAGAACAGACAAAAAAGGTGTAAAATTGAGAAAAAACTTTGGATAACTTTTAGAAATTTTCTTCATCATCGACACTTTTCGTTCAAACCGCGATCTTCATAATTCATTTTTTTTCTTCATTTTTTCAGCAAGTTATGACACCGGTATCAAACAGACGATGTAAAAAAGCAAAAGGAACTGTCAGAAAAAACTGTCAAAAACCGGAATCAAACAGACGATGTAAAAAAGCAAAAGGATCTGTCAGAAAAACTACCCCCCCCCCCCAGAACAGTACTCCAAAGCACCAGCCATAAGCCCACCTGTTGCAGTGGAATATCCATGCTTTGTCATCCATGTCCTCCTCCTTCTCCCTGACTGTGACCTGTTTCAGATACCACCCAGCCCCCCTCGCCAGTCCATCGTGGCCCACAATCACACTCCTCAGGGGGCCCAGGTGCACTGCTTCCAGACGGAACACGTCCAGCTGCAATATTGAATTTTTAGGCTTGGAAATGTCAAAAACAGTTAAGTGTGCAATCATGAACGATGTAAAGGAAGGCTTTTATCAAAGGGGGGGGGGGGTGGGTGGGTTTGTGTTTTTGAGTTTTTATCAGCGATGATTCCGAGAAAAATCAGCGATGTAGTTTTTTCAAACTTGAGTTTGCGCATGAATCAACGTGAGCATATAAATTTTCTTCATTGGCGCGCTCTTAGTATTTTGTAAACAAATTCTGAAGGAAATTCGGGAAAAAAATGAAAACTTCTGGAGTTTTAAGAAAACAGAGGTTTTGATTGAATAAAACAGGTTTTGTCATTCGAACCTTCTGACACTCTTTATTCCCATGGAAAGAAACGTTTTTCTAAAAGTGACAAGGATCGAAAAATTCACAGTAGCCTGAAAATGATTGTAAAATTTCGACCCGCTCACCCCTTCGCCAAACATCAAGTCTAAATAATGTCCCCACCTCTTTTGTCAAAATATTTCGAAGTTGTTTAGAAATATGCGTAAAAATAATCGATGCGTATTGCTTTGAAGTGCAGTCAAGAGTCAAGTTAACATATTGCCCGAAAAAAGGAAAGAATGTATACTTGGTTATGTGGCGTAAAGGTTGAAGTATGTAAGCATTATAATTACGTATGTTATTTTATAATGTTGTATGACCATCAAGTTCAAAGTTATAGTGAACGTGGCGTGTTCGCACAGCCAGTGGCTGGCGTATGAACTCGAATTATTTTGCGCTTTGTTATTACGTTGATGTTTATGAAGTAGAGCACAGGCATACTTCCACATGGCGCAGCCAAATACGGATTCGGCCTACCGTGGGTTAGACGCATTCTGGGCCGGCCCTCGCAAGAACCTCCGGTATCGTCGGAATAATGGAGGCAAACTTTTCAGCTGATTGTTGTTGCTAAGGAGGAAATTGAAATCGAGGATTTGTTGCAAGACAGCGGTTTACCTGAAAATCCTTGTCCGGTACCCGGAGGGCTGTTGGGGACAGAGGATCAGCAGGAACAAGCCTATCGTGAGGCACGGAATGAGACGGCCGTAACGACATGGCGAGCCGAGGAAAACCGACGGCCGGAGGATGAACGTCGGACATTCAAAGGATCGACTCGGGGAGAAGCGGATAAGGTGTGAAATCAAAACTATTTTTGTCTTTGAGGAAACAAGGACGAAGATATTTCAATAAAAAACATCCATATCGTAACGTCGTGGACATGAAGTTTTTAGAATTGTGAAAGACTTCGATGGATATGTTTCAGAAAAGAACCGAATGAGGCGATTGAAAGATTTGTTTTCTTTGGGCGCAAGCTAAGGGATATTGAGAGTATGGAACAGTTCTTTGAAGCATTGAGTGACCGTACTTGAATTTTCGATTTCGGGATCGTGAAGCATCGATTGTTCGCTTCGTTTTTATTTTTAATATGAAGAACGAGAAAGTTAAAGAAACAGTTATGCATGGAAACAATGAGCCCGGGGGAGGCACTTACCTTCGGGAAACGCAAAATTAATAACCGGCCAAATAACGCCGGGCCGAGTAAAGTAAACCCAGGAGAGGTTTTGTTAAGCGCGAACCGGTTAATGGTGTTAATAATCAAGTATTGGATAAAAGCCATAACTGCTGAAACCTGTTGAAACCAAACCATAGAAATCATTGTATGGCGAAGAAAATCTTTTGTTATAACTGTAATTGTCGTGGACTTTTTACATTTATTGCCCTGGAATAATTTCATCCAGATGAATGGAAGCCTGTTTCTTCCTCGTCCCGGTTTTTAAGCGAAGCGGAATTGAAATATTGCATCTATGAGTTGGAACTGCCAGCAGTTGTGTGGGCAGTGACTCACTATCAGAACTACTTGTTTGGGCACCGTTTAAAATGCTTACCGATCATAAAACGTTGTTGTCTTGTTTATCAGAGAAAAACAATTCCAAAACAAGTTGGAAGAACAAGATAACGAGGAATTTGGAGTCTTTGTTATTGAAAAGATTATGGACAAGGACGGCAGAGAAAACAGAAAAATGCTGGAGATTGCCATGGGCAATAGCCGGTGGCCGACAGAATCCAGATAGATTGTGCAAGTCCAGTGTCATTTTTTTCCCAAACAAAGCTACGATAGCTGCAGATTCGAGATAGATTTCTGTGGGTCAGAAAAAAGTCCGACGAGATTGAGAATATCTTCTATAGCATGACAGATGATGTGTTTCGAATTATTGGGAAAAATCTAGTCGATGTCGATGTTGAGTCTGAAGGTTTGGTTGCCAAGCAAGCTGAATTCTATATAACCGAAGAGGGAATGACATCTTACCAGCCCTAGGGATTGAAGTTAGGCAGAAGAGTGTGGAAGCCACTATTAACAACGTTGTCACGGACAGCACCCTGACACCAGTGGGGGATTACTTCTTCATCCAATGTAAGTACATTAAACGAATATTGAGAGATTTCAAGGTTTTGTTTAAAAGTCAAGGTGCACTAAAAATTGTGAGGTGAGAACGCTCTTTCACTAACCACTCCGACCGATTCAAGTTTAAGGTAAACGAGTCCCTATACATGTGTCGCCGAAAGTGGAGGAAACCATTGAGGGCTTACTCTGGGATGGACATTTTGAGAAACTCGGTAAGTGCACTAAAGATTGTTTTATCTTACCTACGGTTGTGACGGCAAAAAGAGATGGATCGGTTAAATTAGCCCTGAACTCGAAATTCAATAACAAGCAAACTCACCGTAATCGATATTAGATTTCGAGTAAGAATGAACTGGTGGATAACGTAGCGTTGGCTATCAGTGGTAATACTAACGACCCGATATGGTTTTGAAGAATAGACCTAAGGTATGCGTATTCGCAGATGAAATTGAGTGAAGAAACCAAACGGCAATGCAATTCCAGTATTGTTGGAGGAAATATTACGGGTACGTATAGATTCAAGACCGGATTTCACGGTCTAGGCGATGTTACGAATGAGTTCCAGAGGGTGATGGATTCTCTAGTAGGGAATTTGCCGGGGGGTTCATGTGTATCCGGATGACATTTTGATTGCAACCAGGGCGTCGGTGGAACGCCATTGGCGGGAACTGAGAAAGGTATTAAAAGTGATAAATGAAAATAACGCGGCGGTAAAATGGTCTACATGTAAAGTGCTCACGAAGGAAATCGAATGGCTAGGGTTTAATTTGTCAAATACGGGGACAGAACCGGTTGAAAAAAATTGGAATCGATTGAAAACAAGAAGCGACCTGAAAAAATTCCAGACATAAAATCGTTGATTAGGTCAATGAATCAATTCATTTGGTTTATCCTAAATATGGCGGCTGCAACGGAGCTTTTTTGTGGTCTCTTCATGAAACATTCTAGGTTTGAATGAACGAGTAAACATGAAAAAGCATTTGAGCTAATTAAACAAACATCGGGGGAGTTTGTGCAAAATCAATTTTCTGATATGCGGAGGGAAACGAGAATTAAATGCGACGCATCCGAGAAAGGCTTAGTGGCTGACCTGGAATAATTTCATCCAGATGAATGGAATCCTGTTTCTTACTCGTCTCGGTTTTTAAACGAAGCGGAATTGAAAAATAGCATCAATGAGTTGGAATTGCAATTGTGTAGGCAGTGACTCACTATCAGAATTGCTTGTTTGGGGCACCGTTTAAAATCATTACCGATCATAAAACACTATTGTTTTGTTTATCAGAGGAAAACAATTCCAAAACACTCAGACGCAATTTATTCGATGGATTGATAGGTTATTGCCATTTGATTACGAAAATGAACATATACCAGATGAAAGTATGGGATTTTTAGATTACATTTCTCGTCATTCATCGGGGCGAGCTGAAACTGTCTCAGAATTAGACAATTTATTTGTCGTTGCACAACTTAGAGTAATAAATTGGCTAATTGCACCGGCGCAAAAGAATGCTCATTGTCAAATGTTATCATGTCAAAAACTAAAATTGAGCGGGAGTTACGCAATTGGAAAGAATGCGCTGCGAAGAAACTTATTAGCGCTTTCAAAAACTGTCATTTGATCAGAGTTTGTGTCAACAACCACTATAGAACCGAGATGCTGCAAAAAATGTAAATTAATTAATCCATTTGAATTGGCTGAGAATCGCAATCAAGTAAAATGGATAACCAGGGGGTTGGACTCAGTGAGATTCCTTCGTTGAATGTACATAGTACAACTTCCACAAGACGTCAAACGGCTGATTCGCGAACTATTCCGGCGGAAATGTTTCCTTCTATTTTGTTCGATTGGCCAGAGTTCTTTGACTCAGTGCTTACTTTTATCCTCACAAAAAGCGGATGAAATTCTTAATTGCAGTATTAATGCTCAGGAGGAGAGTACATGTGTCGCAATTAAAAACCTCCGCAATTATTTCAGTCATTATGCTTCTAAATTCCACATGAGTTCTGGAAGACAAGATGGAAGACAAGAAGACAAGACGTTAATGGAAGACAAAATGGTGATTCCACCGCAGTCGAGGGCTACTGTTATGGCTAGCTTACATAGGGGACACGCTGGCCTTTTTAAGATGAAAGACGTGTCAATTAGTTACTTCTGGTGGCCACTTTTGAATCGTCAAATCTCATTAACCGCGGCAAATTGCAAGAAGTGCATTAAATTTGGTAAGAATCTAAAGGCTGTAATACCTAGTACGGAAATCGCATTGACGGAATCAACGGAAGACCCAAATCAAGAGTTTTAGGTAGAATTTTTAGGACCCCTACTTGCCGTTTGGAGCGCCAAAAATACCTGTTAATTCGTGTTGATCGGTTTTGAAAGTTCCCGACGGTTCAATTAACGAAGCGAACTATCGCAACGGTTATCAAGGAATTCTTGGAAAATTACATTACTCTAGACGCCAACCGCGGGTGATCCGAACGGATCAGGGATCGGTCTTTGTGGCTAAGTGAATTCGGTAAATTTTGTCGACAACAAAACATACACCTAATTTTTTCGCCGATGGGAAGTCATAGAGCTACGGGCATGGTGGAGCGATTTATACGAACGTTTCGGTAAAAGCGTATGGCTTAATCTTTTCAGAGTTCAAAGCCGGGGTTGCGAGTAACACTAAATGAAATACTATTCAGCATTCGAACAACAGTACAACAATCGTTGGGTTTTACTCCGTTTGAGGCCCGTTTTGGTCGTAAACCAAACTCGATCTGGCATTCAATCACTCGTGCGGCGTCAACTGAAAATTTGACGTGGAAAAAGGGGTTGTGTTCTCCAGATCATAACAACAAGAAGATGATTCCTGCAATGGGCAAGTCATGAAGTAATACAGCGAACTGGATGATGTGACGAATATGGGGAACCAACGGCGGAAGAAACAACAAAGGCTCCGGTCCTTCAGGCTAAAGCAAAAGCTTACAAGTTTTTTCGCAAAATCCATGACAGATTGAAATCAGAACCGTACTTTGAATTGCTAAAGGAGCTGGTAGTTCGTGAAACGGCTCATACAGTCACTTTGTTTTCCGGAAAGGTTTTTCATAAGTGTGACATCTCCATAAGTTTAGGTGGTTGGGATGAAGAAGCCTGCGGTTTGAAGGCAGTATCTCCTTCAGGCACAACACAACTATGAGACATTCAAACCGATTGGGATGCCCGAAAGACAGCGGCGTTGGCTGCCTCTCAAGAAAGTGCGGGACGGTCTTCGAAATCATCAATGGATCACGCCAGCGGCACTGCAGAGAATCGGATCATGACCGACAGTTCACGGGAAGGTCTTATGTCAACGGAGAGTCCGGAAGAAGATACAGGAGTACAAAGTCTGCCAAAGACATTACCATCAGAGAAGACAGTGGAGCATAGGCATGCCTCAGGTATGAAGAGGGAGTCTCAAACGTTAAATTTGTCAAAACAATTGTCTAAAGGGGATTGTGCCGTATTCGAGTTCGGAAAAAAGAAGTGCACTTCAAATGTAGATAGCTGCAGCTCCGCTAGTCCGATGGAGTCGTCTTCCACGGTTGACGGTGGGGATGAATCAGTAGAAAATGATAAAGCCAATTCACAAGAAATGGGCACACAAGAGCCGCAAGCACCGTCGTCGCCTCAACCTGTGCCAATGGACATAAAGGACGAAGGGGGAAGACTCCACCACAGGTCGGGACCAAGTCAGGGGAGCGTCATCAGACAGGATACGACAATTACTAGGCACAATACACGTCATTAAGAGAGCGCCGGCCACCTAAGTTTCTGGGAGACAGACTATGCACGAGCGTGGTTACCGGTGGCTCATTGAGTGTGAATGTCGTACATCTAACGCAGAACTCTTCAGATGTAGAAGTAGGAAGAGTGCCCAAAACAGTGAGTCGAAATAGAGGAGGGGTAATCTTGCATCCCCAGCACACCACTCCAAGTAAAAAGTCCTGCTACACAAACGTCCCCAAAAAAATTCCCAGTCTAAAACGACGGAGCGCAGAAGATATCTATTTTGACAGAGAGATGTGTCGTTTTTACTGGAGGCAAGAATACATCCAAGACGTTGTGAAGGGGCTGGATCAAGAGAGGTAAATCGAGGCGAATCATTACACATACGTCGGGAATTCCAGCGCTAGTGGATTCAGCAGGAAATGTTATTGACGGATTTCGTTTGCAGTCGCTATATCAAGGTCTAATAGTCGACGTAACCCGAATCTGGGTAAATTTATCGATATTGCTCAGGCGAAAATTCACAGAATGCGTACGGCCATCGATCAGGCCGGAAGATATTTAAAGTTGCGGATTGGAACTAACAACCAGATCCCAAAGTTACCGGCGGCTAGGCGAGTCAAAATCAGTACTCCAATTAAATTGGACGAAACCGGGAATGCGAGACAGGCGGACATGCCAAAGACTGGAACAGTTTTGTTCTCGACTCAACCAGAAGATTCGGGTGCTCGGTAGGAAGAGCATACACGATGCGCGATAACTACAGATGAGAGCGACGGGTAGAAGGAAAAAGAGCAAATGGCCGTGGTGCAAGATACGGTTGACATCAATGCGAGAGGTAATTCCAGCGGCCCATTGGCTACTGACGATTTAGAAATCGCTGATGAGTTATCGGCAATTAGTACGACCAAAGATGATCATCGACAAGTTTTTGAGGAGCTCCAAAACCTATGTTGAAGAGAGGAGGAAGACAGAGATATGGAGTTCTAACCAACGGTTAACAACAACTAGCAGACTGTTAAACTGATCTAGCTTAACGATGGGATGAGTTGTTATATATGCTACCTTGGAGATTAGTGTTATTTATTGTTTCGAAAATGGAATGTGGCATAGAGGTTGAAATATGTAAGTATTATAATTACGTATGTTTTATTTAATGTCGTATGACCATCAAGGTCAAAGTTATAGTGAACGTGGTGGGATCACACAGCCAGTGGCTGGCGTATGAACTTGAGTTTAAGTTGATTCTTTTACGCTTTGTTATAACGTTGATATTATGAAGTAGTGCACACGCATACTTCCACAGGTTAAATATGTTGATTTGTTCTATTATGCAGCCATAATTACCAATTTTCATCTTGCAAATAAGCTGAAAAGTAATCTTCAGATTTTCTTTCAAAATGATCAATTTGAACCAATCAGTTTCAAGTAATGTGAACAACTATTCAAACAGCATAAGGATGAGTTTTTGCCCTATAACGTAAGAATGTGCTTTTTCACAGAGCCGCATTCCCGGGTAGGGAAAATTGAAAATAACTTAAAAAAAATTCTTGGTAAGGAAATATTAGCGTTAAAATAAAATATGACTGAACAAAATAAGCAAACTTGTCACAAATTATGGACTAATTTCATTCAAATAATTGAAAACCTCTATGATATATATCAAAATTTTCCGAAAAAACTCAAAAAAGGGAAAAAGAAAGCAAAAAAGCGACTACTTCGATAGGCATTACTTTTTTTAGGGCTTTCCGGGAACTATTTTTTTACTGTCAACCGGGATTTTTTTCTCGACCGCCCAGTAAACTACTATATAACTGTGCTGTTTCTTTAGCTGTTTTGGGGGGACAGGAGAAGTCAGTTCCAAAATGTGTTCAGATCGAAACCACGATTTTTTGCCTACTTTTCTTCAAAAATGTTTTGTCGCAGGAAGTTGTCAATTTTCAACGACCCAATAAAAAAGTCGACACAGTTTTTTTGGTATGGTATAATTTCGGTGACTCAATTTACATTTTGAGTCAACGTGACTCAATTTACATGATGCGAGAGTTGAATCTTATCAACGATTGGTTTTTGGCTTCGAACCAATCGTAAATTCATCGGCTGACCGGGAATAAAAAACGACTTCGTCTACTAGGATATTTGGACACGTGACACTCCACCCAAAAAAGGGTTTTTCTTTTGTTTACCTGTGCTGCTTCAAAGGGGGAATCCTGATTGGATCTGTGCAGCTGTCTCTTTCCACTGTCACTCCAAGTGCCAATCAATTGCAGGTACACATTGGACTCAGTGTCTGCACCAGGAACATCTCCAGTTTGCACCTCGATTACGTAATTCACAACTGAAATTATGAAACTATTACATAATTTAAGACATAATTCACCACTGAAATTACGAAACTATTACGTAATTTAAGACATAATTTAACACTAAATTGAAGAAATTAAGACTAATTAATAACCCGAGAAAATGAAAGCGCTAAAAGTGCTTTTTATTTGATTTTTAAAAAAACCTGGTTGACCTCCTTTGATCGCAAAATGAATGAAATCAAGCAATTCAATAAAATAAGTCTATGAAAATTTTTTAATCATACAAACTTCATACAATTTGCTAGAATGGTGTCATCAAATTTTCACTTTCTAGAATTGTTTAATAGTCTTAATAACATAAACTGTGTTTTTTTAACCTGGCAGCAGGTAATCTCCAGGTCTGATGGCCGGAAGTTCTCTCGCAGTTGCCCCATCATCCAGCTGGCGAGACAAGAGGCGGTCGAACTTGAACTTGAGAAACTCTTCACTATCCACGTTGTGCATCTTCAACTGCAAAAAAATACAAACATAAAATACAAACAAGACTCGCTTGGCAATCCAAAGACTTCCGGATTGATTCCCAAACGAAATCAACTTTTCTGAAATCGGCCTGAATAAAAAAATCACCCCTGGCTTATATATTCCTCATTTTCTTCCTCAAAAGTCGGAACAAAAAGCAAAACTCAATAATTAATATCAATATTACAAATATTATATCAAATATTACAATATCAAATACAATTCAAATTCATGATGCTTCTAAGAAATATTAACCAACTTTTGAATTGGGTTTTGTTTTTACAGTACTAAAAAGTATTTTATTTAACGAAAGACAATGCAACAACAGAGCAAAATTCATGACCAAAGTATTCAAAATAGCTCGAGATAGATTTTGACTTTTTGGTGTCTTTCTCTCAAAATTATCCTTGATAAACATTTCTAATATTGTTTATTTGATCAACTCATGTTTACTTTTGGTTAAAATAGTTCTTGTTTCTGCATGGTCCATTTTTCCTAATATCTCGCATTACACACTGATTTATTTTGCGCAACGAACCTTTTTTACAACTCAAGGCTGTTTTTTTTGCGTCAAAATTTTTCGTGTGGCACCACTATTAGTCTATTTATTTATATCGTGGTTCAAGATATCCGAAATTCACCAAAAAAACTTATATCCTGTTATATACAATTTCTTATCACCCAAATAACCTTCAAAAGGGTTGCTGATTGTAGCCTGCTTAGAAATCGTCACTTGATTTTACCAGTTGACCTTTGACAATGTCCCGTCAGAAACATTTATCGTATCATTGTACCAAAAATTATGCAATCCCAGTTGGTGTATTAAGTTAAAAATTCGATCGAAAAAATTTTCCTCGTCAGTTTTTTTTTATTGTATAAACAAATGATCTATTTTTGTTGATTAAAAATTTTTCCTGGCAAGCTTCGGGCGTAGCAGAAAATTTTAAAACGAACTGTAACTTATCGAAGAAAGTAAAATTTATAACTGGGCCTATGTTGTCCAATTTTCCCACTTTTCAAGATGACGAAATATGAACACAAAACAGTGCATTATAGCTGCCAAAATTGTTCTAAGCAAAAAACAGCAGTATTTTTTTGGATCATTCTGAAACAAAATTGTTTTAAATTGAACCCCAAAAAAAATTTGCAAAAAATAGAAAATAAATTTTTGGCGCCGGCTGATATAATTTTTTTACGCCCCGTACCAAGAAATTCTTTATTTTTGACCTGAAATACCTTATATCTAATCTAACTTTGTGATCAGAATTCTTTATGAAACTTTGAAATAAAGCAGGAATTTTGTTAAAACTTTGAATTTATCATTTTGTTTCTGATCAGAAATTAGGTGAATCTAGGCTATTTCTAGCTAGAAAAAATTCCTCTGGTGATGCTCGAATCACCATCTTTCAGTTTTTCTAGGCGGTTGTGCTAACCACTAGGCCACATGCCTTGATGTAGATTAATAGTTTTGGCTATCTAATCCAAAGTAACGCTTGTTATAAAAAGGTTTAATTCACATTGTATTGCTACGAATATTGTGTATACTCAAAGTATGTTTATCTCGTTGAGCAATGAACTGATTTTTGGTTATTTCTTTCCAGAAACTGTTTTTTTTTTAAAGCTAGAAAGGAATTAGATCATTTCTGCACATAAAATACAAGAAAACATAGCTAGATATTAGATATAAATTTTTATCTAGAAAAACGGCCTCTGTTGGGTGCGGGGCTCAATTAAAATGTGCTTGTTGCGCGAAGGAAAAATTTTTTGCAAGCCACTGTGATTTTTCGAGAAAAACCTGATGAGCACATTTGTTGGTCCTTTTCCCCAGGAATTTTAAATTAAAAAAACATCTTTGGTCTTTTAAACTGCTCACCTGCTTGACGTGCCAGTTAGTTGGCTGGACAGACATGTCATCATGTTCCAGACGCACTTTGAAGATCTTGCCCACCTCCGGAATACTGATCTAAAATCAACCTAATTTTCGGAACCCAGCGAAAACTTTACCTCTTTTGTGGATACCTCTTTCGAAGTTACGATCGAACCTGTCTTATTTAATGTATTAGTGTACTTAGTGAAGTTTTGGGATAAGCTCAAAAAATCCACAAACTGACACAAAATTGACTTTTTGGATATTTTTTAACTAACAGCTTTTAAAAATTATCTGTTGAAACGCGATTTATTTAAATATAACGAAAAGAAAAACCTGGAAATCATCTTTGGCATGTGACTGAAACAGCCTCCCCCCTCTTGCGACCCAATTCTCCTCCCCCAAATGAACCCTTTCGACCCCCCTGTCTCCGTATATCCACAGAGTGACTGTAGTTTGTTCTTCACACGGGGAGTCTCCTGTTTCCAACTGGATGTCCCAAGTTTCCAGCTTGAGGGGGACTAGAGCTTGGCTGTCATTGGCTAAAATTACACCACAAGAAAAATACAAAAAATTTTCTTGTTTGTGTGTGTTTGAATATAAAATACGCAAACAAAACATCAGATGTCAAATGAAATGTTTTGGCTCAACACATTCGGCTCACTTTTGATAATGCTAATTTATCCTTCTGACCATTTGAAAAGTGCGGAGAAATTTTATATTCGGGTTTTTTTACATTCGGGTACTTTTTTATGCAATTGAATTCAAATTAGGCAAATACAGGGTTGACCAAAAATGCTAAGATAACTTTTTTATATGGAAAAAATGCTAGTCATATACTTCTCATGCAATTCCACACAAACAAAAAACTGCATGATAAGTCTATGATTAGTAAATTTTTGTATATGGAAATTGTATGACTAGCACTTTCCCAAAAAATGAAAAAAAGAATACATTTTTTAAGTTTAATATCTCAAAAATTATGGAATGTGTTCGAAGAAATAGGAGTTTTTTTTAAATCTTTGAAAAAATATACACAGAAACGGATAGAAATCCAATTTTTGTGTATCCAGGACTACGTTACGCAGGCAAAAAATTAAATTTTGCATGCAAAAATTTTTTTTGGAAATGTTTGTTAGAGTACAAAACTCGATTGGCGGTTAAAAAAATTAGGACAAGTTCAGTTTTCTTCATCAAAACAATTTTTTGTCGCCATCAAAAAAATGCTAGTCATACAGTTTTCATATATGGAAATTCTACGATAACCATTTTTTTACAAAAAAAGAAACATAGTTTTTTTCATCACCAGACTGTTTTATTTGGTTAAAAAAGCCGCAGAAACTAGTTCAAAATCGTTTTTGAATAATTTTTCAAGATTGTATGAAAATTGTAAGACAAGCATTTTTCCGTACATTTGATATTGGAATTGTCTGACAAGCATTTTCGGTGTATGGAATTGTAAGATAAGCATTTTCGGTTTATGGAGGTCAACCCGGGTTATCAGACATTGATCAAAGCATACATAAACATGCCATACAAAAGAACTAGAAATTTTAAGCGTTTTTGAAGAAATTTATCCAAAGAAACGGAAAAAAATCCATTCTTGTGTATCCAGGACTATGATACGCACACCAAAAAAAAATTTTGCATGCAAAATTTTGGAGCAATTTCAAAATACTTTTGTAGTCGCCATCAAAAAACACTAGTCATACAATTTCCATAAATGAAAATTATATGATTAATGTTTTTTGAACAAAAATTCATCTTTTTATTTATCTTTTTTATTTTAGCCAAAACAAGATAAAAGTTCTTTGAAAATTCGATGAACTCGTTATAGCAAAACGTATGACATTTTTATGATCAATAACTGTTCATAGACTTTGTTGTGATTTGTTTTTAGTATCTTAAAATGACCTTCGGTATTTTAAATAATACCTGTTAAACATCTTAGTTACGACCATTGGTCGATATGAACGGAGGTTTAGTTGTCCTTTTAACGTTCTTATTTCAAATACTTCTTTTTTAACCGTTTTATCCTTTCAAGCTTATGTACATACATTGTACACATAGAACCATAGAATTAGAACAGTTTATTATGGCGCAGTGAAATGATTCGAATGTGCGTGGAATTCCCCCCTTTTGGCCAAACCATACTCTAGAGCCACCGCATGCCTGGACCCAATGGAGCGACCAATTCCAATTGGCGATCATTGCGAAAGAAAATCTGGATTTAGAGAGCCTACATGGACCAGTGATACCGGAGACGCAAATTCCAATCTTGGAACAAGCAACAGGCAGCGAGTCGGACGCGGAAAAAGCCAACAGAGAGAGCAGGAACAAAAGCGCAATGAAACAGTAGGAATCCACCGAAGAGAAGCGGATCAACGAAGAAAAGAGGAAATTTAATGGAATGAGACGAACGGAGGCGGACAAGAAACTGCGATCAATTTTATTTCTAGCCCTAGGGAGCGAAAGAAAAAGAGTTTTTACACAAAAGAACCCAAGATTCTAGCAATATCGTTCTCTGAGTTCTGGACTCTACTAGACGCAGCATTTAACAAACCGCCCATCACTACGTTCGAAAGATATAACTACTAAATCGAAAGCAGAAAGACCGCGAGTCGTACGAACAATTCTGGGGAGCACTGACGGACCTGGCAAGCACGTGCAACATCAAGGAATCTGACGAGGCGGAATGGATAAGAAACATCTTCATTTTTAACATGAAGAACACAGACACCCAGAGTAAGCTACTTTCAGCTACCATCAGCCGTCGGAAGCACTTAATCAAGCCCTAATCGACGAAAAGGGATACTTTAACCACCAGAAACTGACAAACATGTCACGGTCATCGACCAACTGGACAACTTTTAAATCTTTTAGTAACCACAATCAAATCAAAAAGGAACCAAATTTAAACATCGAAAGGAGTAACTTGCGCATGAAATGCGGGAATACATTTACGAAAGGGCACTTAAACGTTTGCCCAGCAAAGGACATAACCTGTAAAAATTGTAATTATAAGGGACACTTCGCCAAATTATGTAAATCACGCAATAAGAGACCAACTGTAAATACTGTATCAGATAATTATGTAAATACCAAGAATTGTACATACACACCTCCGGAAAACTCGTGGATGGAAGAAAAAGAATCGTGCGACGGTATAAATGCGTGGAACGAGTACGGATAGGGTGACGATGACAATTTCTCGGTGTTGAGCGGCAGAACAATTTACGACAAAGAAACTCCTGAACCTAGGCATCGGCTGGGATATGATTTTAAATATGAACATAACTGTAGATTCAGCAAGCCCTGTAAGTTTTTTAAAACAAAATATACTATACGAAATTAAACTAAGATACCCGAACCTCAAGATACACCCAGTGGAGAAAAGAATAAAAGACCTATACTGCGGATTCACCAAGGATACGATCAAAATTTTGGGAAAAATAATTGTCAGAACACAGTCCAATGGGTGGATCAGCGAAGAAACCCCGTTCTTCATAACCGGCGGACACGAGAAAAACATCTTGGGGAACGACAATTTACCCAAACTGGGCATAGAAATAACACAGAGGAAATGCCCCCAACCAATCTGCATGGTCAATTAACCCACACTCGAGAGTGAGTACAAAAACCTACCTTCAATATCTGACAAAATTTTTAACGAGTTCAAAAATCTATTCACTAGAGTGGGGAAAGTACCTAATGATCGAAAGGTAACTCATTTTCACTCACCTTTTAAACCAATACAGTCCAAAGGGAGAATAGTTCCACTCCATTTACTCGCGGGAGTGAACGAAGAATTAAAAAGAATGGAAACAGAAGGCCACATAATAAAATTAAAAAAAATGCGACGAAGATTTTTTTATCAGTCCAATTGTAATCGCTCGGAAAAAGGATACTTCAATAAAACTGGCACTAGACTCTAAGCTATTAAATGATCAAATTTTTAAAAATAAGTATCAAATGCCGAGCATCCATGAACTTATTGTTAACGTGGCGCTCCAAATTTCAAAAAAATCCAACGGGCGAGTTTGGTTTAGTAAGCTAGACCTGAAAAACGCTTATAGCCAATTTAAACTATGCGATCAAACAAGTAAACAGTGCAATTCTAGCATAGTACGCGGTGAAACTACCGGAACATATCAATTTTTAACGGGATTTTACGGATTGGGAGACATGCCCAATGAATTCCAACGGGTCATGGACTCACTGTTGAAAAATGTCTCTTTCACGAATTGTTACTTAGACGATATCCTGATAGCCTCGCGTGGATCCCTGGAAGAACAAAAATCAATAGTGTATAAAATTTTATCAATATTAGATAAGAACAACATGGCAGTTAAATGGGGGAAATGCGCATTTTTTAAATCTGACATCAAATGGCTTGGCTTCAAGATCTCAGGGGATGGTGTACGACCGTTGGTCGGTAAAGCCGACGCAATAAAAAGTTTGCCAACCCCGAAGAATATTTCTGAACTACGTTCATTTTTCGGCTCGATAAACCAATACGTAAAATTCGTTCCTAACTTATCGACTTTAAGCTCCCCTCTTCGACCTCTATAAACAAAAAATTGGTATACAAATGGGATACTAACCATTCAATAGCGTTTGAGAAGTTAAAAACGGAAATTGTAAAAATTACAGAAAAGAGCCATTTCGATATGAAAGAGAAGACAAGACTGAAAATGGACGCTTCACATAACGGACTAGGGGCAACCCTAGAACAATTACAGGACGACCAGTGGAAAACAATCGCGTCTGCATCCAGATTTTCAAAAAACCATGAAATGAAATATTCTACCAACAAATTAGAGTTGCTGGGAGTCGTATGGGCTACAGAACAGTGCAGAAACTACCTGTACGGAGCGGAATTTCAAATCGTAACAGACCACAAGCATTACTATCAGCAAATCATGGAAACAAAACGATGCATATTCGATTGACCCGTTGGGTAAACAGACTTTTACCATTCAATTTTAAAATTTCACATTTACCAGGAAGGGACATGGGCTTTACAGACCTTTTATCTAGACTTCCTTCGGGCAAAGCCCTTCCAATTTTCCATTATGACGACGATTTTGTAGTCGCTTCAACCGACAAAATTCAGAACCTCTTATAAACTAAACAATATTCTAAAATAGTTACTGTAAATTCTGTAGATAGACCAACGGTCGCTGTAAATACTAATACGCGAGTTAAAACAATCCCATCGGGAAAGGAATATTCAAGCGACGTGATTGGTCAGAACCGGTTGAATAGCTCTTTAGCTTTACTTAATCTCAAGATTATTGCTGCTATCATATCTTGTATCGCTTAGTCGATAAAAATTTGCCACAATCAACACTCTCGGACAGAAAATTGCACTACAATTTGCCAACCTGTCAATAATTCGAAGTGTAATTTTAAAAGTATTACCTTTACGGACAAAGTCCTTCGACATTTTTTTTACTAAACAGACACTTCATACCATCTAGCAAGAAACAATCAGATCTCCCAACGGACAAAGTGAACGAACGTCTCTTGATCATCCCGGAAGAACATAATATCGCCCTCAAATTCAGAGACGACCGAATTCCACCCGACCACGCAGACCTCGTAAGAAGATACAAGGCCGACTTGAATTTACTAAATTCCCCAATTCGCCCGGAAAACCACTGTTCGAAGAAATTGCTTTAGATCATGACCAGAGAAGACAAGTGCTGTGGAATTTGATAGAGACGATAAAGAGGAATTGATCTATGGGCATACACGGGTTTTACATGAAGAACTATGCCAAAGATCTTCACGTGAAGGATGAGCTACTCTTCTTAGACAATAAATTAGTCGTCCCAGCTACCTTCAGGGGAACTTTTAATTCGATGCTACATCAGACTCATCCAGGACAGTTTTGGATAAAATCTCTCGCCAAATATTTGTGGTGGCCGCACATCTACTTGGAAATTTACCAACACGTGAGAACATGTAGCCAATGTCTAAAAGCTGGTAAGAACATTAAAGTGTTACTAGGCTCCCAGAAAATTTCGAAACTCCCGACGTTGACATTCGCGAACGCAGAAATTAACTTGGACTTTGCGGGACCGTTGGACGCGTGCTGGGGTAACAATAAATACATCCTTCTTTGCATCGACCGTTACACAAAGTTTCCTTCGGCCAAGAACAACACCTCTACAAGAAACGTAATTTCATTTTTAAACGATTACTGTCACCTACGCGGATTCCCAAGGAAAATTAGAGTCGACCATGGGGCATGCTTCTTATCACATGATTTCTGCGATAAATTTAAAATGGAAATTATTTACTGCAGAATCGGAGACCACAGATCCAATGGGCTAGTGGAAAGATTAATGAACACAATTAAATCAAAATTACTGGCAATGTCCTTCGAAGTACACCTTTTGAAAAGCATTTTAAGAGAGTAGCGAACACTAGGTGGAAAAACCTTATGTCCAATACTGACCATTTAGATAAAGGGAAGGCTATAATGTCCAAAGTTCGGGCCATGAACTGGGAACTCCACGACGGGGCAGAAGATGGTTATCTGGACGAGGAAAAGGACAGCACGTCGGATCCAGAAGAAAACATGCCACTATCTAGGACTTTCAACCTACATACAACCCCGGACGTCACTATTCGAACTTCAGAACCTCTGGAAAAAAGAAAAGCAGTAATGGGAGGTAACTTATATAGAAAGGTATCTAACAGGAAAAATAGGGACCCATATTTTAATCTGGTTAAGAAGGATATTATCGATTCTCCAGAGCACACCGTTACTCTTGACAATGGTCATGTTTTACGTAAATCGGATCTGGCTATAAAAGGAAAAATACTCCCTGGGCCCAAAAAGATAATAGTGAATCAGACACCCATTGGGCATAATCTTTACACTGATTCGAGTTTAGCTGGGAAAAGGAAACTCTCCCCACCGAAGAAAGCTGTATCGTCACCCGCTGGACACTCGGTTCAAGGCACCTCAAGAACGGCTAACACCAGAGTAGGGACTAGTGCACCGACCGTGAGGACAGCCACTCAAGAATCTCCAAGATTTACTTCAGGTTCATCTTCTTCCTCAAATCTAGATTCGTGGGACGGGATAATCGAGGATTACTTTGACGATGTGACCAACAATAACGTACCTCAAAACCCTCATACCGAGTCTAATCAGGGCTTAAGTATTACAGGTCCTGTCGAATCCCCACAACAGAGCTCAGAAAGGCCAGCGAACAACGACCCCCGGGAGCTTGTTGTCATCCACGACGCGACCACGACAGAAGGATCACAAGACAACCCAATACTGGTAGACAGTATTCCAGAACAGATGAACAGCGCGACTCTAAAGCCCCGAAATTCTAGACCACGCAGAAATTTGGGCCCCCCACAGTTTTACAGAAATAGCAGATTTATAGACGTAGGGAAAGACGACCTAGGGGCGTCACCTTCTGTATTCTTTCCGGCACCGGACTCCCATAGGACTAATTTCACGGTCACCTCTCCATCCGACTTTTTGACTCCACTAGCGGAGGCGCCTCCCAGACAGGTTTTCGTTGCGGAAACGACGTTGTCCTGGTCTTCAAGGAAATAATTCCCGTCGGTCAGACCAGCAACCTCTACTATGAAGACTCATCTTCACAAGAATTTTTCGGACTCAAATACAACTTACCCGATCACGAAGGACCCCACGCTCGAGGTGGACAACTATAGCGAGATCTCATCGACTATAGATTCAGAAGTGATGGCTAAATTGGATGAGTTTGACGATCAATTCAATTAATCTACAATTCAATTTAAACTGAACAAAACAATTCTTTGATCCATATCTTAACGCCGGACTTTTTAATTTTACCTGTAGATACAATTGTACATGTTAATGTACAGTTTGTGGATTAGTTTTATTTAGTTATTTACTGTATGCTGTAAATTTTGTAATTCTGTATAGTCACCCTGTACATTTGTACATTCTCTTTCAATTGTGGATCCTATTTTGCTTCTGTATATTTACTTTCTGGGTGCAGTTTGTAAAATTTTTCCATTTTCGGAGGGGGAAAAAGGGTGTGTATAGAGTTATGTAGTTAGTTTGCAGTTTCATTTTTTTCCCGGTGGGAAATATTGTGATTTGTTTTTAGTATCTTAAAAAGACCTTCGGCATTATAATTAACACCTGTTAAACATCTTAGTTACGACCATTGGTCGATATGAACGGAAGTTCAGTTGTCCTTTTAACGTTCTTAATTCAATACTTCCTTTTTACCGTTTCATCCTTTTAAGCTTATGTACATACATTGTACATATAGAACCATAGAATTAGAATAGTTTATTAGACTTACTTAATGAACTTGTATGACCAGCATTTTTGGTCTATGGAGGTCAACCCGGGATTGCACTCGCTCGTTGCTAACTTTCAAATAAGGACAAATAAACTATCGTGTGAGGTTATAACTAACTAATTTCCTAATTTTCAATAAACTTACACCTGATAAATTATTAGACATCTATATGCACTCCAGTTTAAATTTAAACATAGGAAAATTTGACTTACGAGCTATTGAGTTGCGTCGATTCACTCGAACTCTTTTGGGCTTTCCAACTGAAAAAAAAATCAAAACTTGAGATTATGCAGAAATATTTCCTTTTAAACTATTTCCAAATTTTCGTTTTTGTTGATCATTGAAGTTTACTTATTAATTTTTGCTTGGAAGAAGGATAAAACCAATGATATCTCTTTAATCGCTGAATTAGCTCATTGTGAGGTTATAAACTCTCCTAAACCGACGTTATTTTTCTGAATTCCAAATCGAACAGCTTTAGTTTCAAAAACCTATTAAAAATTGGCATCTAATTTCCGTGAAAAACCAAATTAAACAAAACTCACACTGGATAACTTCTGGGAAGAATGCGAATGACTGCGCTTCAGGGCCAGATAATGTGACACAATTTCCCGTCGAATTCACTCCTAGATAAACCCCGTCGTATTTGTCGTGAGATCGCAGTCTAAATGCACCTGTGAATGTGTCTCGTTCAACTGCGAAATGACAGTGGAAATCACCTCGACCCTAAAAGTATTTAAATCTTAAAAACTAATGTCCGATCTCAAAGATGTCTTAAACTTTTATTTTGTTCGAAAAACCGTTGCCGACAAAAACGGAATTAACCTCAATGAATGCGCTCGGTGTTAGCTATTTTTATTAAGCAGTCGTTTTACTCAAGTGAATATCGCACCATGTACTAGTGTTACTTAAGAAATAATTAAATTAGACAAGAAGTAAATACGACTAATTTTTAGACTTGAAAAAAATAAGGAAATTCATGGCAAATGACTTGTTCCTAGACTGGAAAATAGAATGCCATCTCTGAAAAAGTTTGACAACAGTTTTACCAGTCAATATCAAACAACACAACCCACGTCATCCGTTAACCAAACATGGTCGAGCCTAACAACTCAGGGCGGATGGATCTAGGGGGGGGGGGGGGGTTGGATTTTCGAAAAGAAAAATTAAACTTAAGAATTTTTTTAGGTCGACCAAATTGATTTTCCGTCTTGTTTTTATAACAAAATAAAGTTTTTTTGTCCTTTCAGAATTTCAGTTTTGGGGAAAGGAAGCAACAACACGAAAAATCCCTTCAAGAAGGGGTGGATCTAGGATTCCCTTCATGAAGGGGCGGATCTAGGATTTTCTCGAGGGGGGGGCGGATTTTCGAAATAAAGTTCGCCCAAGTTTTTTTAGGTCGACCAAATTGATTTTCCGAGCTCTGCCAAAGCACTACAAAGACCCTATTTTAGACAACTTCTCTGCGCCGCAGGGAAAACTTGAAAAAATGGCCAAAAAAGGCGTTTTTTCCGTGCGCGCTCCCCCCTCAAAATTATTATATATTGGCGCCAAAAGCGGCTATAGAAATTTTTTAGGGTCTGTCCGCCAAAAAAGGATATCTGAAAAAAAAAACAAAGTGGGACCCTTTGGGTCGCCAGGTGGCCGAATCCCTGAGGAGAGGCGGCGTCCGACCGCCCCCTTACCCTCCGACCCGAAAACCGCCCCTGTAACAACTTACAGCTACATTATACCACTTTTATTTATTGAAAATTTTTTTTCTGAGAGCTGCAGCATTATGAAACAATCTAGAAAAACAAATGTTCTAAATGTTGATAGGATTAGGGCTATACAAAAAACTTAACTTTTCAACTTCAGTATAAAATTTCGTTATTGTGAAAAACGTTTTCATTTTATTCGACTTGTTAAATAATATTGTTTCTTTTATTTGTTATAGAAATAACATTTTTTACGTTCAAAATAAAAAGCAATTTTGTGAAAAACTGTGAATAACAATTATGATTTCATTCGGCTTGTTTTTTTTTTTCATTTGTTTATTTATTTGCTTGCTCGAAGAAAAAAGGGATATAAAAATAGGCTAAAAATCATATCAGTAGACGGAAAAGTTTCAACCATTTCAAATCTGAAAATTTTTTCAACATATCCTTTCAATTCTGGCCAATTAACAATGCAGCAATTTAAAATCGCTTCAACGTTTCTCGTTTAAGGGTCGCGTGAGGAAGCTTTTGGGCGTGTTGCCGCTGGACGGCTGTGGTGCAGTGTTTACACCTTGTGTATATATCGTGTGAAAACTAAGTCCTTGTTAGTTTCACTCAAGGTCCGTGCTAAATCGCTTATTCCATCTCTATCGATAAAAAAAAGATTAAAGTCGAGGAATATTGAAAAAAATTGCGACATATAATTTGTTCCATTCCATACTTCATGTTAGATTTCGTAGACAAAATGTGACTAGTTTCAAAAGTCTTTTTTTTTGCTTGAGTCTTCGGATGTTGCACATGGCGCAGCCAGCATTTCCGGTTTCGGACGACTGAACGGCTTTATTAGAAGTTCTTTCATTTCGGCTCAAGCCCATTTCAGATCCACCGAGTTCTTGGGACAATTAGATAGGTCCGTTCAATCTGGCAATTACTCTTTAGGATCGTTGTGACAAGCTAGAATTGCTCAAAGCTCCTGGAACGGTCCATGATGACCCACCCCCGCGATCAGAAACAACAGGCTCTAGCAAAGACGCTATCGAGGTAGAGATCAGAGCGACTCACGATGCAGCACAACTCAGGAGTACCAATGAGGCAAATGCAGAACGTTGGGCCAAAAGACCGAGGATAGCTCCGATGTTTACTTTTATGACGCCAATGAACAGATCAAATCTCGGCTATTTTCCTCCCTTGGTACCGGCGGAAGTAAACGATTCTTGCAGTTTTACCCTCCTTTACATTTAGGAGCAAGTTTTTAAGTGAATTTATCAACAACTGCAAGCTCATTTTCAAGACAGAAAAAACTCACTAAGAGAATGACTACAAGTATAATATGTGGTTCATTCCGATCCAGAAAGCCTTCAACCATTCTTCTTGTGCCTGACGGGTCAAGCCGCCTTGTGTGGGTTGAATGCAAACATCAAAAAAGAAGTCGTCAAAAACATATTCATCGCGAGAGCTGTGTTTTTGACCGGAAGCAACCCCAGAGGATAAACTCAACTCGGTGCTAGTTTTACAAGAAACGTGTGCCCAAACATCAAACATTCAGCCGTGTCAACTGGGCCCGTCTTCAAGTTAGTCAGGTTTACTACCCCCTTAGTCGTTCAATCCGAACGTAAACTCCAAAGGTGCGAGTAAAAAAACCGACTTTTTCGGTCCAGATTTAAAAAAAAATGAAAGGTCGCATCAATTGAGCCTTAACAAAACAGATTTCGAATCGACAACCAAAACAAAAAAGATTTCGAATCGACAAAAGCCAGTTAACACCGGTACTTCTGTGGCAACAAGTTTTCTCGCAACAAAAAACAATCGTGTCGTGCTCGTGTTATTACTTGCCGTAGTTGTAACAAAAAGTGACATTTCGCAACAAATTGTTGCAGCCCAACGCGGGTCGAGAATGTTGAACCCGAATTGGATTATACTGTGAAGGAATGTTGTCACTTGATCACGTCAGGCTGTGAATAGGAGCTTGAGTTGCTTTTAGTGGAAAATTCCATTGGCCATAGTCGGGTGTATGCTCCCGAGAAAGATGGCATGGTGAGAGAGCTGAAAATGATCAATGCCGCCGAATGAAAGATGGAAAGATTCAGATCCCTGTTGGTTATTCGAATACATCGTTCATAGCCACGGTTGGTACCAGAAGTTCAGCGACAGTTCTTTCCTTTCAGGACTGTCTGATTGAAACAAATTACTTGCTCTATAACAGAAGGAAAATCAAAGTTCTTGGAAGTCTTTTTGTTCATGTTTCTTCTCTCGGATGGAAGTTCAATTTGGAAGCTCAATTTCTCCGTTCAGAAATCGGGCGAGGTGTTTTATTTTGGGCATGGATATCCAGTCAAAAAGTCAAACAAGCGACCCAACTGGGCACATTTGCCCGAGTGAGTCACAGTATCAATTCTAAGTGTTAATTAAAATATTACCAGAAAACATTAGGAGAGATTATTACGCGTCTAGGTCGTTTAAAACCCACCAATTTTTTTTTCATTCAAGGCTCCACGGATTCCGGTTGAAAAAAGGGTAGAATAGGGCCGGTAACTTTTTATAACAGGTGGGAGAAGAAACAGGGAAAATAGTTCGGTAAATTTACAAAGTCAAGCTGAACAAGTGTACCAGTGATGTCTTACTCCTATTTTTATTACCACCAAAAGGGATGGTTTGAGAAAAATGGCCATAGATTCGCAGCCCATAAACGACCAGATGTTTAAGAATAAAAATCGAAAGCCCATTTTATTGAAGCTTTTGGAAACTGCCGCTCAGATAGTTACGTCGAAAGCTGCTATAGAGGTTTGGCTTTGTTCTTTGACCTCAAAGATGATTTCAGTCAACTTAAACTCAGTGAGCAAGTCATCAGCCAATGCAACTTTAATATCGTGTGTGAAGAGAGTATACTTGTAAGTAAAGATTCAAAAACCGGTTTAAACGGTTGACTGATTTGCTTAAAGAAATCAAGAAGGCGATGGACAACATTTTTCAAGTTTTTTTTGATCTCATACTTATCTTTTCAATAGGGGTCAATTCGATAACACAATCACTTTGCGTTGGTAATTGTGTTCTGCGAGATTATTTCTGTGTTGTTTGTATGATGGTTTTGTTACCGATCGAAACGTTTGATAATCCAATTGTGAATATTTTTGTGCAACAGAGGGTTTTACTGTGGATTGTATGACTGTTTGTTGTAACGTTGGGTTTTTTAATTTTGGATATATAAAATTTGGTTGAATAGGTGGAATGCTTAGTTATGCTTCTGTTGTTGTTATTGTTTCAACAATTTCTTCGTTTACAAAATTTGATGGGGTTTGTATATCTTGTTGTGTAAGATTTCTTGTTCCGTTTAAATTATCATGATTTATGAATATAGAATTTAAGCTATTATTTCCTGTTCTTTCAGGGAAGAATGAATTATAGTTTGAAGGTGTTGCGTCAACTGTAAGTGGATATACTCAAACATAATTTTGATTAATAGAAACAGTGCTAATTGCCTGACTTGATAAGTCTGTTGGTATATTGATAAATAATTCATAGGACCATTCAGGTCCCATACATAGTCTGATTGTTCTGCTAGTACAGTTTCATCATCTGTACTTTGTGGTCGAAAATTTTTTCTTGCTTGTTCAATAAGATCAATATTGTGACTAAAGTAATCGATTGTGAACCATGCTAAGGTTTTTTGTAAATCGTGTTTAACGTTTTGTGTTATTGATCATTTGTTAAGTTTTCTCGAATTGCGTTTAAAAATTTTGAAAATATGTGTATCTCCTGTCGTACAATTGTATGTCGAGATGTTTGAGTAGGTGAATAGCTTTGGGGTTCATCGAACTCTAATATATATCTAAGAGGAGTGGGATCAAGTGAAGGATGAGTAACCGAATTTCTTCAATGTTTAGCTTAATTAAAATGGTTAATTTTTTGAAAAATTTCTGTTAATTCTGGGTCTTTGATAAGGGTTGGGTAGTGAATAGACGTTTGAGGTCGTTAGACACTAATTAAATGTGGAGGGGGAGAACAAAATTGTTCTATTTGATCCAAGTATAG